CAAATCACATAATCTCAAACCCCATCGCCAACAAATAAACAAACAAATGAATAAAATTAAAGGGGGGAAAAAAGCATACCAATGAAAGGGGTGAAGAGAAGAACAACGTACAGAGCCAGGCCGGAGCTGGTGGTGGCGAAGAACCGGGAAATCGGGTGAACCGTGACGACGACGGCGGCGACGGCGATAGTGAGGAGCAGCTGTACACTGATTATAGTGTAAATCTTCCGGATAAAGGACCACCGGAGTTCGGGGCTCTCAAGCATCGCCGGGTACAGCGGCTCGGCGCCGGATTCCACGTCATATTTCCGGTAAGGCTGGCTCCACATCCTTCCGGCAGCAGCAGAAATTCCGATCTCACAAATAGGAAAAAAAACTTGAAGACGTGAAGTTTACAGATTTCCGGTCGGCGACGGGGTTAACGGCTTGTTCGAATAGATTCACCGGGAAGGCACACCGATTATATTGTCGAGAAGGAATGTAGGGATTGGGAAGAAAGTGGAGGAAAGTTCTTGATGCGTCGCGTGAAGGTTTGGATTGTACACGTGTCGCTGCTTAAGGAAAATATATTTTTTTTTTTTTTTCTGATTTTGACTAAGTGGATTATTTATGCAATATTATTTTTTATGGAAAATGCTACAATCCCGTTACGGAACCATTTCGTTGGGATTGTAATCGTTAGATCATCAAGTAACCGTCAATGATGCTTGATCTAACGGTTACAAATCCCAACGGAATGGTTCCGTAACGGGATTGTAGTCTTACCCTATTTTTATATTATGCGGTATCGATTTTTTTTTTTTTTTTTTAATTCACCGGATAATGTTTTTTTACGCAAGTGTGATTGATATAAATCTTGAACTCAAAATTCAATATCTTAAATATTATTAATATCATTAAATAATATCATCAATTATTATTACACTTTTTAATAAAAATTATTATACATTCAATCACATATTTTGAACTTCGAATCATTTATAATCATTATTTTACTGTTTTGCTTCACAATAAATTAAATCATTATATTTTACCTCTTTATCGAATCATAAATTTAAAATCAAATTCAAAATTCAACTTAATAACATTTTTCTTCAATTTCAATTCGTTTCATTCAATAAATCAAATTCAATTAAAAAAAACTTCATTCAATTCAACCAACTCATCATATTATTTAAATAAAAACAAATATTTATACTATTAAACATCATATTTTAATTCAAAAGGATAATACCAACCGAATTCCTAAAAGAAAATGTCCTTCGGCTTCTAAAAAAAAGAAAATAAACAATCTCCTTTTTATATATAATTTTAGCTGATTTGATTCAGCAAATCTAGGTATTTTCTAGTCTCTAATTATCTTATTTAGTAATATATCAATAGTTTTCAAAAAAAAAAAAATAATAATTCAGCTAAAAAATGTAATTATTCTCAAAATAATTACGTGTCGCTCTGGGGTTGCACTGCGGGACCACAGATTCTCCCTGTTTACAAACACCGTCCCCTTTTAAAAAATATCATCACATACAAATAGGGAATTTGGAAAAAGAGAGAGAAAAAAAAAAAATCAACCGACGATTACGCTACGGCGGCGGCGCCATATTTCCGGCAACCATCACACTCTACGGTTGCTGCTGTCGCTCTTGATGTTCAATTTTTCGAGAAAATCCGTAAATTCGATCTAATTTCCAGCCCGCGGGCTTCGATCTGATGTTTCTTTTCGGCTAGAGGCGTAATCCACAGTTCAGGCGAAGCAGATGTCGGAATCCCATGACGCGCCGCCAGCGGATGGAGCTTCCAAGCCTATGCCGGACAAGACACCGGAAGATTCCACCGGAAAGTCGCTGCTGGACAGGCCGCTCCACCAGCTCACCGAGGACGACATTGCTCAGCTCACTCGCGAAGACTGCCGCCGCTATCTCATAGAGAAAGGTTAGGCGCTGAATAAATAAAGTTCAACCTGAGAAAAAATACGACAGCAAAAGGGTGAAGAAATTAAGCGCAATTCTCACTTTTTCTTTTTGGTTCGATTTTATGATTTTGGGCGCAGGGATGAGGAGACCTTCGTGGAACAAATCGCAGGCGATTCAGCAAGTGATAATGCTGAAGAAGCTTCTAGAATCTGATCCTGAAGCTGGTTCGGTTAAGCGCCCTAATTATATCGGCCATGGCAGCAGCAGCTATGCTGTTAAAGAGAGTGTGCATAGTTTTGTATGTTCATTCTATTTTTTTATTCGTTACTTATCTTCTTTTTCGTCTCACGTTGAAGGAGTAAAAAGAAAAATAAGGAAATTGTTAGGAGAAATATATAATAATTGTCGCCCGCATGTTCTGTGCCTTGAGTTTAGCGATGATGTTTAAAGTCTGTTTTTGTTAGTGATTAAGCAGTGTTATTAGTTTAATAACATAAATGCAGGCTCCAAAAGGTAACAAAAGCAGGGATGAAGAAATTTCTGTAGCTGCAAAGGGAAAGACACTGCACCATATAGCTGATCTGAACAAACCTGACCCGTCGGAGGGTTTTTCAGGCACTTTTGCAGCCGCCAAGGATGAATTTGCTCGGCCAAGGTTGTTTGCTAGCTTTCATTCTTTGAGTTTCTATTGCAAACGAACAATTGTCTATTTTTGCCATTTTTGAAAGAGAAACTTGAACTTTTTCCATTTACCACTGCTTCGAGAATAATAGCTTTCATTGCATATGAAGAATGTTCCTAGAATGAAGGTTTTTTGTTCTTTCTTCCAGAATCGTATGTACAACAGATATTGCAGCTGGGCAAATGACGATATTCTATGGCGGAAAAGTGAATGTATATGACGATATGCCTGCAGATAAGGTATTGAATCTTTCATCCACTGTTAATGTTGAACTCTGTTGCTTCTTGCTAGCTTTTTTGAGTTATATGAATCTCATGTTGTTTTCTTAGGCACGTGCGATAATGCACATTGCTGCAAGTCCGTTAGATTTTCAAGAGGAGCAGCTGAGTGATGCTAAAATACTGCAACCTTTACCTTATCTCCCGAAACCTCACAGCACGAAAATGCGTCAGACTTCTGCTGATGTCAGCTTTCCACATTTCCAAATAGGTGATTCAAATTTTTAACTCTCCATTATGACTCAACAGTTTCTTGTAAACTTTTCATAGACTTGTTTTGCTCACGCTCATGACGAGCTATTTTACGTGATCTCTCTATCTCTCGTGTATGTGCACACATTTTCTTTGTTTTTCTCCCACTGCAAAACTTTTTAACTAATATCTACATTGTAATGTCAAATGGGTTTCTGAAATTTCTTTTGCAGCGAACATGAGGGACAACTCACCAATGCATGGAGAAGATAATATCATGCTTCTTGAAGGGACCCCTGGTAAGCATATTTCTGTTGGACTCTGCTTTTGAACTCTGTTAAGTGGAAATCTTTTTGGCGTTATTTATACGATAGCCTGTACTTGGATTTTGGTAGTGAACTCCAGCAGAAAACACTGCAATGGTTTTTTTTAATGAACATAGGAATTTAAAAGGGGACAACACTACAGAATTCCAAGTGATGTTAACTAAATCATTCTTGCGGTTGACACATAAATTTCAAATTGTTTTATTAAATCAAGTCAGTGAATATGAACCATAAGCATCCTGTTGAAACTTTCATTCTTATATATATTTCGTTCTTTTTGAATCAGTGGAAGGTCCTTCCGGCAGAAAAGCATCAGTACAAAGATATCTCGAGAAGAAGAAAGACAGGTATCTCGAATGGATTCCTAGATAAAATTTGAAGAAAACCGAAAAAAAAAATGCGTCTTTTTCTCGTTTTGGATCCTCATATCTTTGTTAGGTAAAGGCTCAAGAGCAAGAGAAAGGGAGGACTGACCTCGTGTGGCAGCTTGGATATGTACTTTAATCATCAAGTGTGTAATCAAATACCGACAATTGACAGTTCACTGGAGAATGATTCACTACAGAACGCTTGTATTTCCACTGGCCTGAGTAACAAAGGTGAGATCTTTATCTTAAGGCTTCGTTTTTTCTCTTTTTTACCAGCCAATGTTTTTAAGTAAAGGCATATTTAACTTTTCTTCTTTGTCTTTTGTTTCGTTTTTCCAGGTTTACAGGTGGACTCGACCTGAAAAGTTCTGACTTGGTCCAGCCTCGTTTCTTGCTCAACTTCAGGATGTGAATTACTCGTACATTAATTCATTTTCATGAGTTCCTTATTGGTGTTGTGTTTAATGTTGTTTGGTTTTAGCAGTTGTTTGGTTTCTAGTGGAAAAAATTTAGACTCGTGGACCTTTTTTCAGCAGATATTTGAAAATTTTCTAGGGTACGAATTAGGATCTTGTTTAGTGAGTTCCTTATTGGTATTGTGTTTAATGTTGCTTTTTATGTGAATCATCATATTCATTAATGATGATCTGAAGATGATCCTATGTACTGAGGTTGAGATACTAAAGATATAAGGTTTGAGGCTTTCTTTGTTTGTACAAATGACCCTAAATGCACCGAGAATTATTTGTTTGGACAAGGACTTGGAGACCTTGTTGCGTATTATTATCTCACGTACATTCTACGTAGCTAATGTCTAACCTGCATTTAGTCGAGCTTTAATGAGATCAGAACTGTTTATTTCCCTCCAAAAAAACACACAAAAAAGCCATCATAAGCAATAGAGGACTTCTTATAAGAAAGAACCTACTCCATTGTGAGTTCATAACATAGTTCCTCGTCTATACATGTATGTAATGATCGCATGAAAAAGTATTTTCACATCAAGATTGTACGCAAGATGCGTGCAATCATTTATGTGGCAAAAACAAAAAAAGTACTTTCACATCAAGATTGTACGCAAGACGCGTGCAATCATTTATGTGGCAAAAACAAAAGATCCCGAGAAAAAAAAAAATAATAATAATAATAATAATAATGAACACTCGGATGAGTTGAGAAAAAAATAACAACTCATTTGAGTTACTGAGTTATTCAGAGCGTTTCGTGGTGTATGTTTACATACGAATGATCACTCTTAGTAATTTTTTTGGCTTCTTTTATGCTTTAAGCATCACCATGTATCTAACCTAACAACAAAGGTTATATTAACAAAGAAAGTTCAAAGTATACAAAACCCAGAGAGAAAGCAAAAGAGAAGAAGAGAAAAATAAGATAAAATACATAATTTTCTTTTTTCTTTTTCTTTTCCCCTAGCACACTACTATCAAACCTACAAAGCAACAAAGGTCTCCCTCAACTCTCAAGAATAATTTTTCACCACAATTTACCTTTCCCATTTTATAACCAAATTCTAGCTAATTTCTCTTTTCTTCTCTTCACCTCTTTGTCTAATTTCAATGGATTCCTCCTCTCTCAAGGCTCGTGTGTGTTGACTCGGCTATGAAGTTCTAACATCTCTTGGTGGTTAGGGTCGACCGAGAGTGCAGCTCGACAGTCTCTTAAGGCCCCCATGACATCACCAATGTGCTCATGGAATGCGGCTCGTAAGTGGAGAAGATGAAGATCCGCCTTGAATGCTATAGCCCTCGAAAGCTCGGCAATGGCTTCTTTCTCCTTGTTGTTATCCATCAAAACTGCATGTAAAAAGTAACGTCAGATTAAGAACAATTTGGAAGGGATTGGTTAAAATCTACTTATCGAGAGCCACTCGAGCATTAAAAAAAGGGTAAATTTTTGGATTCTACCATTTCAAGTCTATATATGAGCTGCAAAGAATATGCAAATCTTTCACAATTATACAAATAATCTTGAGCCTCATTGAGGGGCATAACCTAAAAAGAGAATTTGCAATTGTTGTCACATAAAAAATGTGACAAAATTGATGTGAATTTATAAATTATAGTAATTGTTGGTCTTAAAGATGATGTGATGCGTGAATAGAGAGATCTTGTATGTCGATCAGTCGATGCTTATATTAATGTAGCATGATTCTGAATTACAAATACGCGAGCCGAATTTCTTATTTACCCAAAGGAAGGTACTTGTAAGGCGAGTACAAATTTCTGCAAATAAATTTGTAACAAAAGACACTCTGTAATTCTGAAAGATAACTACTGTAAGTCTGTACCTATACTGAATTTTTGAGAGAGATTATTATAAATAGTAATCCAAGAAAACAAATTCAAACCTTATGGAGTAATAGTAGTAGTAACTTTGGGGTCTTTTCTAATGTTAAAAAATTAACTGGATAAATTTTGTAATTAGCTAAAAACTTCTCACTAGTCTGTAACATACCATCCCAATTAATTAAACATTTATCAGGAGACACAAATCCATTAACAAAAGGACCAAAATTAACTTCATCTACTCCTAAGGGGTGTTGGTTTATAAATTTTTTCAATTCATAGTCAAAATCTAACTCAACTTTAACCCAACCTCACTATACTCAATATTATCAATATAATTAAATAATACTAATCAATTATTCTTACACATCATATCAATTTAAATACACTATCCATCCACTCACATAATTTTAACTAACCATCACTTCACATCATCTCTCTTACTTTTACATCAAAGCAACTTCAATTATTTTATTTTAAACACTAATATAAACTAAAAATCCCACTAGCAGCTAACCATCCCACTTTTTTCAAAATTAACGGTGGTTAACAAAAAAAAAAACCGATCAAAAAACAAATGCAAAAAACTGACCTGCAGCTCGGTATCTATAAGGATAAACCCGAAGAGGATCAAGAGAAGTAACTTTTTCAAGATCTGCCTTTGTGAGCTCACGCTCACAATACTCTGACCGCTTCTCATAAGCAGATGCATTATTCCTTGCTTTCTCGATCAGTTTAGTCATCTCATTATACGCTGCGTTTTTATCATTTCTCAAAAAGTGGACACGGGCCAGGCCTTGGTGGGCCCGCGTGTGCCGGATTTTGAGGGCATTTATGTAACAATCAGCTGCAGCATCAAGCTTTCCACAATCGACATAGACACTTCCAAGATTGTTCAGGGCCTAGAGAGTTTCGAAGGAGAAACCAGTTTAAAAAAAATAAATAAATAATAATTTAAAGAATTATCGTTTGAAAGCAAGATAACAGCCAGTATACTAATTAAAGCAGTATATATGGCTGCTGCCAAATTAGAATTGCAGGCTAATAATATGATTAACTTTACAGAAAATACCAGTAAGGTTCATTTATAACTTGAAAGATAGGGTAATTTTTTGTATTTAACCCTTTATACAAAAATCTCTATTGCAGCCACAATTAAAACATTTCTGAAAAAACCTCTCATGAAATGCACTTCTCATACCAAAACATCAGTACAAAAAAACAAAATAATAAATAATAAAATCAGCCATGCATGAAATAAACTAACACTTTATTTTTGTACCTGGCCTTTGCGAAGTCTATCCGAAGGGCACTTCAAAGCTTCTTCAAGAAGCGAAACTACAGTTGACGAACAAGATGGGTCCTGACTGGAATCAGCTAAAGCATAAGCTTTCAAGAAAAAAGCTTCAAAGGATCTATGGAGATTAATGGACTCCTCAGCTTTGTGTAGCCCTTCTTCGCAATAACCACTATCGTATAAAATCCATCCCTCGTAAACTAATCTTTCGGCTTCGCTCAATGCATGCTGGCGAGCCAGCTGTAAACTCCTCATTGCAGCTTCAGGACAGTTGAGTCTGATAAACGACAAATACACGAAACACTTCAGTTTGACTTTTTACTAAATATGGAATTTTTTTTTTTTTTTTTTCCATTATGGTTTTATTAATACACCACTTATTACACATCTATTTCAGAAATAGTTTTGACAAAAGTACCAATATTCAGTATTCACTTGTATGATAACAAGATATAATCAAATGGCCAAAAAGAAAACTAATACCACATGTGATCTTCTCACCTGAGAAGAAGCAGCGATTGTCTGAAATACAGAACACCTTTAGCCGAATCCGACTCTAACATCTGATATATCACAGATAACGACCCAATATCATCCACCAAAGACCACTTATCATACAACTGCAGCCAACAATCGGCCGTTGTCCAATTCTCCACGTGCTCCCGAACGAGCACCCGAAGCTGAGATGCCGCTACCCGCCCTTCAAACATCCTATAACCCGGGCACAACGTTAAAATCACCTGAAGGTCACACAAAGCCGACTTATAATCCTCAAGTGCAAGGTAAAAACAAAAACGAAGCTCCAAGCACTCCAAAGCAAGCTTAAAACCGAGCACTCGGTTAATCTCATCGAGTGCAGACTGCACATCTTGCTTCCTCATCAAGCAAGCGGCTCGATACATGTACGGATAGGTCAATGTCGGGTCAAGCTCAGTAGCCCGATTAAGCTCGTCCAATCTTTTCGCCTCGTCATCGCAGTACAAAGACCGCTCCTCGTGCATCCACCCGAGCGGCGGCGGGTCGTGAGAGGATAATAATAAAACGGAGGTGATTTTATCGTGGGCCCATTCTTTCTCACGCCGACCCTTCTTGATGATGCAGCTTATTCGGGCCAGGCCCGTAACCGAATAGACGTGGCCTTCTGATAAGGCCGCCTCAAATAGCTTCTCGGCCTCTAAATATTCTTTTCTCATTAGCCGGACACAAGCGAGCTTGTGGAATGCGATCATTTTCTGCTGGCTCGTCACAGCACAGTTTTGCGCCAGTTGGATTAGGAGAAGAAGTGACGTGTCGGAGGACGGGTTTAAATCCATGGCGACTTCCGAGAGTAGAGAGTAGAGAGAGAATGATGTGGGCCCGGGCCCCACCATGATCGATATCTGCTGATTGTTGAGTCCGGTTAAAAGCTCGACCACGCGCTCGTTTTCGAGCGAGAAGGGGAGTTCGTCGAGGAATGCCTTCAGACAGGTGACAGCTAGGACAGGGGAGTTTTGCTCGAGTGCGAATTCCATGAGCTCGATCGAGTCTTGACAAGAAGACACTAAAGAAGCGAGTTTTTTGTCACAGGCATCTTTCAGGCCTTCACAGCAGAATCTGTTTGCAAAAACTAATATCTCTAGTAAAAGACCGTTTGCCACGTCAGCGTTCAAACTTCCCGTTACGGAATAATCACTTATCACTCTCATTCCTAAAGGAGAAATGTTATTTTCCGAGAGATCGATTACATCACTGAAAGATTCGGTAAAACAGCCATTGAGCAGCATCGCGTGAAACGGAGCTGAGAGCGAGGCAATTGCTCGCCGTTCGCAGGTTATTTCTTCATTGCCGATTCGGAAAGAAACGAGACGAGGGGTAAGGGCGTCATTTGTCAGGGGTTTGGAGGTCCGGGTGAAAGGGAATTCGGAGGCAATGTCTATGGCCGCAAATTCATTTGCACATTTTCCGAAGGAAGATAGTAATTCGGATATGATTTCCTCCCCTTGCTTCTCGTATTTTAGCCACGCCCCAAAAACGAGCTTTTCGTAAATGGTGCTCGATTTTAGCCAGGCTGAGCGGAGGCTCCTTCGCATCAGCTTGGATTCGCGAAGGCCTTTGAAGACCTGATACTGTAACAAATAAAGGCTCGATTTTTTGCTTGGAGGGCAAGTTTCGAGCTCTTCGTGAATTTGGGCCAAAACTTTGACATAGTCGACGGGTTTGTAGAGTGGGAGGATCGGGGGATCGGGGACTTTGATGAGGGATTCGCTGTGAAATAAAGATAGAGTCTTGTTAATTAATCGGGCCATTTACACGCATTTTGGAAAAAACAAAAGGATAATTAGAGAGGCTGCATACATTGAAGATGGAGAGTACTGTGGTGAAAGTTTGGTGAGTTTGCCTCTTTCAACTTGAAGCCATGATTGAGGATTGATGGAGTTTAATAGTGGTTCTTTACAAGCATTATCCGAAGGAAAACGCCGCATACCCATTGGACAAAGGAGATGAAAAAGGTCCCAGATCTCCACAATGGCAAAAAGATGTAATCTTTCCTCAATATTTTGGAAGATTAAAACAAATTACAGAAATGGAAAAAAGAAAAAGGAAGAGAAAAAAGAGAACTTCAATGGCAAAACACCATTCTTCAAATCTGGAGAGCTCCCCCCACCCACCCACCAAAATCAAATCTTTGAAACACAATTGTACAAAATCTGGGCTTTGCTTTTCTACAATTCTGAGTAAATCAACAGTAAGTTCTCAACAACAAAATGGTTCCTTAGGGCTCAAACAATGATACATTCAAATAAAAGAAGAAATAAGAACCCTTTATCTTCAGAAACTCGGCATAAATAGAAGACTCTTCGAGCTTAAAGTAGCTAAAATGCCTAAAATTCAGTGACCCTACGTTAAGATCTCTACCTGAAATGTAATCAAAACCACATTAAGCCCAACAAATCTCCTAACAATGAAAATATAAACAACCAACCAACCACAAAAAAACTGAGCAACTAAAGCAAAATCAAGAACTGGGTCACTGGCCTGTTAGGTCTCGATCTCAATTTTTTTTTTTTTCTTAAATCAAGAAACTAATAATGGCGAACTGGGCAGCAGCGTCTGGATCAAAGCGATGTAGTGGAATACAAAGAGGGAAAAAATGCTTACACAACAGTATTTCTCACTTTTCTTCGTTTTTGGGTAAAACAAAAGGTTTCACTTTTCCTTTCGCTCTCTCAAATTCTCAATTGTTCGGCCTTAAAATATCCAATTATTTTATATCCGTTGAGGCTGCGAGCTCTCTCCAAGTGGGAGTGGGAAAAATCAAAAGTACAGATGACAAAATGAAGAGATATAACTTGGAAATTGGAATAATAGTAATAATAATAATTAATTTGATGATACTCAACGCACATTATTATTATTATTATCNCTCCGTCGGATTGAAATTTACTGATCGAAAGACACCATTTAATTTTTTAAGATAATATCATTTTATATTTATATTATATAATATTCTAACCGTGGAAATTTGTAAAAATTTGTACTCGTGGATTTTCAAGGAGGTCGGTCCGTCCAACCTTGTTAGATTCTTTGGTGTCGGTTGACACCCTAATTGTACTCTTTTGAATTTACTAATTATTAATATATTTGACAACCAGTTTCTCTTAATTTGTTTGCTAATAATAATAAATAAATAAATAAAATGCATGTCTTTTTAATGCAAGTCTTTCCGACCGGACCGGACCACCCCAATCAAATTATGTATACCCGAATTTTGGTTTGGAATATGGGATTATGTATCTTGAAAATTAAAAGAAAAAGGAGAGGCAAAATAAAAGCTAAGCACATTGAATGGTAGGCAAAATAAAATAAAATAAAACTGTTGATGCAAATTCAGATGCCTGAATTCATGTGGAGCCCATCAGATACAAACTACCACAAGATATCCATTTGATTGGTATAAACCCGATGGCAATACCAAAACTGGTTACAAATTTGATCATACAAAGCTAATCTTATTAGCAAAATTCAAATTGTTGTGTCGGGCTTGATTATTGATTGTTATTAATCGTACATTTTTCGTAAAAATTTACAGTTAGGTAATGAAATATCATACCTTTTTATGTTGTTTTTCTTATAATATGGGACTTCAGTTTGAAATGCATATGTTACATGTCCTATTCATTTTTCACACCGATCAAAAAAAGACTCATTTGAAAATAACTACAAAACTAATACCTGAAATTCAGTAGGTTGCATTTTAAGTGACATTTCATTGCTCGACTCATATAAGAGTGCAGAACATATTAATATATATCTTCCTAATAATATTTTTTTTCATCTTTATTAATAATAAGACTACTGTTAGGCAATCCTAACACTTAGAAGACCATAATATTTCATAACCTAAATATGTATTTTTGTCACAAGTGTGACAAATTGACCAGAGAAATAGTTATGGCGCTTCACTACAAGAATTTGTGTTCCTCAAATTCTCCTCCTCACAAGCCCCCGTAATTACTAAAAGAAAAACAAATACCCACCTAAACTTTAATAAACACATATAACCATCCGTGTACCAAACTAATCTTCCTTTAAAGATAAGTTAAGGGAAAAAAAATGGGAAATTTTTAT